AATTAAATTACAAGTTTGTGATTGGTGATAAAGAAATCAGCTCTGGATTTGTAACTTATATTTTATATCATCAAGGGTTAAATGTTAAAGGTACTTGGATGAAAAATTATGAGAATACTCCGATATGATAAAATTACAAAATTACCCTTATGTTGGAAAATGATAAGAATTGTCCTTGGAAGTTGATTAGTAAATCTGAAAAGACATATTGATCTGATAAAACTACTTATGTGCATAAGAAATGCTAGTTTTGTATAGGAAATACGAATAACCGGTTTTTAAAACCAAGAGGGTTTGTGCAAGATATTAGAATTCTATTAAGGAATTATTTCAAGATAAGAGAATGTTCGGGAAAGCAATTGATCATAGGATCTCTAAATTATAATTATTTTCGTTAAGAGCTAATATTGAAATTATCTGGTTAAGAAATTACGAAAATGCCCTTGAGAGATAAAATAGTCTGAATTGACCCTGAATGAGAGAGTACTTTGAGGATTTGTACTTAACTCGATTAAGTACGAATTTAATTGTTAAGATCCTGTCTTTGTACAGAAAAATTTATAATATTCCGTTTGTAAAATCTGAGAAGACACTTGACCCGAAAATATTCGAATAAGGAGTATATACTTAAAGAGTAATTTATCGGAGGTATTCTGCTGACAGAATTATTCGAAAGGACTGAAGTAAATGATAAGATTGAATTAAATAATAAGACCGGATGGAAGGAAATGATTGAAATATTCTAGAATTATAAAATGACCAAATTACCCCTGGAATGGAAATGACTCAAGAATGTCACCAAGCTCAGGAATGAATGGATATACTCAAGCTTTGAAATGAATAGAAAAATGTTGAGCACCAAAATGACAAAAATGCCCTTATGACCTAGAATAAGTAAATGTCTTGGATTAATTAAGAAATCCAAATAAACATGGATGTTGTGCTACCAGTAAAAGTTGTGGAACGCAACTTAAGTGATCAACCAACGTTAGTACTATATCATTATCTGAATGATATAAGTATCACTTGAATGTTTGTTCATCTTCTCAAATTTGGATCGATGATAATTTTGGAAGTACTTGGCTCAGTTCAACTCTAGAGCGCATACAGTACTAATAGTGGGTATTCGTTAGTCAAATCAACCACGAATACTAGAATGACTTTATTATATGAATAAATTGAAATGAAATGAAGTACAATGTGTATTTGAAATTCAGAAACGTCTGAATTATTCTGGAAAACTTTAAAGTAATCGGGATAGACTTGCTTACCAAACGAACTAAGTAACATCAATGACTAAGGATTAAATAGGTGATTTGATGAGTTTGGAAACACTGTTAAACTTACATGATGAATTTTCATTATGGGTTATGAGCCATGGATCAAGTACGTCAGTATTTCCTGATATTGTTGAAACGTGGAAATGAAATAAAGACCGTTGGAAGATTTATTCAGTGATGATTATGGGGATGATCCATGGATCTGCATTATGGTATTAAAGAGTGAATACACTGGAAGGATAATGAATTGACTTGTTGACATGCATCAGTTGAGAGTTGTGTAACTCGAGTTGTTTGATAATATGATCGATAGTCGTAGATTGTAAATGACTTGAATCTTCGATTCTATATTTCATCTAAAATCACTTCGGTCATGTTTAAAAAAAACAAGTAACGCAGAAGGAAAAGATTCGGAATATCTCATTTGGTTCAATTGGGCTGAAATCCTATGAATTCAAAGTATATTCCTGAATACCCCTGATTGTTTGGGTAATGGAATCACTCGCAGTAAATCTCAATTTAGAATTATTATGTATAAAGGTTTCTGAACGTTTTCCTAATGCACACGAAAATATAGTGGGATTCTAATGTATCAACCTTAAATGTCTGGTTAGATCGGTTAGTAATCGATTCTCCTCAATAGGACCTTGTTCCTTGAATTCGATCAAATTTCATAAGTTTCATGTTATCCAAAATGATAACTACAATGGCCTCTGAAAATACTTGGATTCTCTAGTGTGTTCCCTAATTATTACTGAATTGTTTTATTGGTTTTAATATGAGATACACTGAGTTCTTTGGTTACTGTTTTATTGATGCACCAATTTAATGTGATGATTTATGGAATTTGTGTCACGGTGCAATTGAACTTTTGGATTGAATTACAATAGTATAGCTCTGATCAAGCTAATAAACAGAATGGGCCTAATGTGACTCTTGGGACCCCAAGATACATTAGGTTGGCTTCCCTTGCTGTGTGCTTAGGGTAAGCTATATGGGCTTGGACTTACGGGCTTAAGGATACAAGCTATAAAGCTTATCCTTAGGTTGGCTTTCTTTTTGCTGTGTGCTTAGAGTAAGCTATATGGAAAATAGTTTTGGAAATTACTGATGGTGTACAAGAAAAGAGTTTAAACTATGATTTTCAAAAGTTAAATTTCATTATGATTTTATGAGATTTACTGAACTATCATTTGATAAGTGTACCTATTATGATTTTATTATACTGTTGGAACACACTAGACATCCTATTCGATCTCCTGAAAATGTCATACTTTGAAAGGTTTCTTATGAACTGAGATTCATGGCTTCTACTCGATGAACTTCTAAGGGAACCCTAAATTATTCTGCAAACTGATATACGTATGATTCAATAAGGAAATTATATGGCTTTCCATTTATCTACATGTCATGTAGCATCATCTGGTAGTTCTGTATTACTGAGCTTTCCGAAGCTCACTCTATTACTCAACATTGCAGGTTAAAAGAATTGTACCAGTGCAGTTATCGACATCAGTAAGGTAGTTCTTCCGGCGTTGCTTGCAGAGAATGGTACATGTGATTAGGGGGCATGTGAATTGTATTTTGTTTTATATTTGAGTTTGAAAAACCTATTTTATTTCTGAATAATAATAAATTATTTATGATTTTACATGTTTTAAGAAAATTTTAAATTTTCTGCTATTTTTACAGTGGGTCGCTCTGGTGGCCCTAATGTGACAACCCAGATCGGATCGGGTTATCCGCATCGGTCTGGGGGTTACAACAGGACCTTCGAATCTTCTCCATACTTACTCTCTGTAATTTTATTTCAATAAAAAAATCATACAAGGATTTATGTCTCTCAGCGAATGTCGGAGACGATGGATCGTCTGGGTCATCCCAACCCCCAGACGTTCCAACTTAAGATTTTCATGGTGACCAGCTGGCATGTGTCTTCAGGCTTGCCGATATGTTCATGTGTCCAACTCCCGTTGCTTCATTTTTCACAACCTCACTCAACGCATTCCTCTGTCACTTTACCCCATCTACTTTGTGTATAGGTGAATTTTTCATTCGCCGAAACCATCGGCACATCGTCACTTGTAATAATCCCTATTGTTCCTTCCTTCGAAGTCCCAGTCCATAACTTTGTCATTTCCCCCTCGCTAAGCCACTATTCAAACCAGCATTAACCTCCTCCAAATTATTACTATCATTATTCTCCTGCCCATCATCATCCCGTAGCCATGGACTAGGTGAATAATTCCAACGTCTTAGTGGAGTCCTCAGGGATATATCCCATTATGAAATCAACTCATGCTTCAGTCGTAGCACTCCTAACGGATATGACCCTTCTCCGTGACCCAACTTTCCACAAAGGAAACAAAACACCTTTAACTTCTCATACTGGAATGTGACATAATGGAAACCTCTGTTCGGCAAAGCTATCTTCTTTTTTCTTTTCAATGGCTTTCGAACATCTAATAACACACAGAATCACAAACTTCCCTTATATCCCAAAGTAACTTCTTTCGCATCGAACTCCATAAACACCCCAATGAAATTGCCCAACTACTTCGCAACTTGCTCAAAAATAAAACTTACTCGCACGTCATTTGCCAATACCCAAAATCCCACCGAGTTAAGATCAACCAACTGTGGATTTTCATCCTTCTATAAACGATGAAGAACCAGAAGATGCGAGTTAAAATACCAAAGACCTTCATCCCAAATCCTCTCAACATCAACCTCATGGAATAATCGAAACAGAAATCGTCGATCCTCCAATTCAGTGATCGAAACACCCCAATTGGATGCCAGACATTGACCATCATTGTCTTCATTGCCTGAAAATTAATATTACCCGTAGTGATAAAACGACCCACTAAACAGTGCTCAAAAGAGATCAATGAAGTTGTTGTCGTATTGTCAAGTTGAAGAACTTTCTCCTCCTCCACTCCCAGATCCAAATTCTTTAACTCCTCAATTAAATCACCCATCGCTTACTCTGCTTCTTCGATCCAAACACCCAGGGTCCTTCAAAACTACTCGTACAAGAGATCAAAAGAGCCAAACAGATTAGAAGGCCGAAAAACCCTAATAATGGGTAGATTATATATATATATATATATATATATATATCCACTTAACAAGTACATTTGTCTTACAAATTTTTTAAAAGATTTCAACCGAGCATTTTCATCAAAATTACATTTAATTAAACTCTCAGCTTAAAAAAATATATCAACGAAATGTTTTTGACCGTTGATATATAAATTACTTGATCCCTACGCATACTTCTATTGAGTTATATATATACCGCACAATTAATTTAACCTAGCACAAAAAAAGCTTCCTACTCAAGTTTAATCTCTTCCATTCCATGGCTACGTTCTCTCATCTGCCTGATGGCATACACCTTATTGACCTTTACCAACCTCATACTATAACAGAAAAATATCCCATTCGTCATTCGGTTCAAATCGAAGTAACCATCACCTTCGATAATGTAATTTGTCTTCACGACTGTTTACACCATCGGTTTACTGAAAATCTGATTCACTTCCCTCAACAAACTCTTCGGTTCAATATCCGTATCTTGGAACACAAGAAACAGGGCCGCGAGATCATTGTCTACATGTTGAGGAAATTTCCGGTCGACCCAACATCTCTTGAATTTGGCATGGTCGTTGATACATCATCCATCATACACTCAGTATCGGAAACTGTGAGTCCAACATGGGACGTCAGGTGCTGCCTTTGAGCGTATATATTATCGACAAAGTTACTCAACACTCCATCCGGGAGAGGGATTCGCTAAGGAGAGCTTTGGCGGAATCGGCATTGTCGGGAAACAACAGCATGGTTCCGGCGAATGAATCCTCAGTTAGGAAAATGTTGAAAAGGGTTTGCCTCGAAGATGAATCTGAAGGAAGCAAGAAAAAGAGGCGAGTGAAGGGCGAAGACTGCATCATATGTCTCGAGGAAATCGAGGTCGGTTCAACAGCTTCTCAGATGCCTTGCTCTCATACCTTTCACGGTCATTGCATCGAGAATTGGTTGAAAGAAAGTCATTACTGTCCTCTTTTCCGATTTGAGTTGCCAACTTAGACGGTTTTATTGTTTTTTTTTTTTGTATTATCACGTAGAATGTACTATTTTCCTCCCCTTAAGTTTAGAGAATTTAAGTTTAAGGAAACTTTTAATAAGACATTCTACTTTGACCATGACTTTATGATTATGTTTGACCATGACTTTATGATTATGTCAATAAAAAGCATATTTGCCGAGAAAAAAAATCATCATACGTTGTAATTTCCAAAAACCCGTGAATGAATTTACTTGATTTTTTCTACGATTTTGGTTTGTCGTTTTTTGGCCATTGGTTTTCCTTCTTCTGTGACTGTCACTTCTGTTTCATGTAATTTATATTCTCTGCAATATTCATCGAATATTGTACCTCGTGAAGACATTGTAATTCTTGGGTAACCTGTGGATGTGAGTTTTATCTTATTACTTTTGTCTCAAGTAATTGACACTTTTTGTTTAAAGCAACTTTTAACACGAATAGTGACTAAAAGATGGGTTTTTTTTATTTTAAAAGGAATCACTTTGTCAAGAATTCTAAGGGAAACATCGACACCTACAAAAGCAGATAAACACACTTGCTTACTATTATGTTTGAACTCTGATACAAAAGGGTGAAAAGGAAATTAACTAACTTAAACATGTACCACTATCTGCCAATTTACACACCTGAAAATACTAATGCACTTAAATATGCACCCACCAAACAAATGATTAGATTGTTAGTTTTCCTGGTTCGATCGACGTGTGATGAAACTTGCATCAACTCCTTGAACTGCAAGAGAACATGAAACGCCTCCTTGTGTGAGAATTACCTCCTCCACTCTGCTCTAACCACCTTATCTGAAAATGCCAAGCAATCAAATCCGATACAAAATTTGAACAACCAACATGATCATGTTCAACTAGATAGTACTGATATGGCAACACAAATGCAGAGGCATAAAACATCTAACTTATGCTTACCCCTTTACCAGCTACATGAGCTGGTCTTTGAGCACCTGGTGACAGTGAATATCGCCTGTTTAACCAATTCTTATGGTCCACTTCACAAGCACCAGACATTTGGGAGCCTTGATTCCTAAGCCTAGCTTTCACAGATTCAGTTGGTAACATATAACTGGGCACTTTTGGCTTTTTGTTTAATCCGTTTTCTTCTAGATTACCAGTTTTTGCAGGGAAAGAAGCTCTCCTTTGGTTTAGTTTTTTTGAGCTCATATCACTGATCTTCTCATCCTTGGAGCTTGACTCCTCAGGAACCAGCATAGTTTCAATTTTATCATTGTTTTCAGCAGATGCCAAGTCAGCTGCAGGAGAGACATTAGGCTTGTCAAGAGAGGTGTCTTCTTGGGATAATCTCAGATCTGCATGAAGATTAGACGGTTTTGATAGTGGTGTACTCACATCTCTCATCATCTTCTCATTGAATTCCTGTTCTGAAACATTAGAAGCATCAGTAGTTCTTGTCAGATTCTGTGTTGTTTTATCACTAACAACCTCGGACTTTTTAGAAACCTCCTTCGCAGTAAGTCTTTTTAAAGCGCGCTTAACCTTCTCAAGTTCATTTTGAGGATGCTCCAGAACTGTATCTGCTGTTGAGTTGCCAGATACTCTGCTTACACCACATTTTGGTTTTTCATGATCTGAAGTCAAACAAGCTCCATTTTCTACTTCTGCATTGGAGACTCTCCACACACTTCCCTTTGTTTGAGACTTCAATCTCAGACTCCTAATTATTTGTGAAGGGGATTCCCAAAAACATGAAAATGTCCAGCACCGAAGCCACTTCCATAACGAGTTAGGTTCCATGGACCATATTGAAGTCGTAGAGGCGACGCAGAAGGTGATGAAGCTAGAAGCTGCAAGTGATGGAATGCATAAGCACAAGCTGGAAAATTTTTAGGAATATCATCATGGACTCATAATCAGCACAGAAGATCACATTTACATAGTAAGCCAAATCCATTCATAGTATTGGAAAGAAAAGGAAAGAAAAGACCATAACTTCTGAGCAAACACATTGTTTGTTGAATTCTTCACCAGAGAAAATGCACTAATCCTGAATGGATCTGAGGTTTTAGAACCTTGATTAAATAAATAAATGATATCCAGCTTAGAAGCAAGATAATTTGTTCTCATAGGCACTAATCCTTTATAATTAAAGCAGTTTCACATAAGCAATGAGCATAACTAGGGCATTAAACAACTTGTGTCATCACACAATGGTCTATAAGGTGGGGGAAAAAACACCTGAGGCAGTCTTAGATTTTTTCCTGCACTTCAATGCCGATATCTGAACATCTTACCTTTTGACCACGAGCTAATGCCTGGAACTTAACAATTCCCCATGTACAGCACAGAGTAGCCACAGCTTGTCGCCTAACCAAGTGACCGCGGATAAGTGCTTGCAGCCTTTTAATCCCCTTGAGGGTTTGAAATGCCCAGCAAGCCTTCCAACAAATAACATTTCCATCAATAAAACTACATGACTTATCCATTAACACAATGCATGATGCAGAGCGACAAAGGCCAACGTTACCACCCAAATGCCAAATCAAATCAAATAAACAGTAATGCTGCTGCCAACATAATCAGAAGGGCCGAATGAAACTACAGCAGTAAAAGGCTTATCCATTTTATTACTCCCCAAGATCTTTAACTAGCACAGTAACCTTTTTTTTTTTTTGACTAGATATCACAGTAACCTTGGTTTTATAGAGAGAGTACGCTACCAGATAATCTCTAAAAGCAGCCTGTGCCTTTGCAGCGGCTCGATCAAGCCTAATCCTCTCAGGATCTTCCGGTTTGCCAAAGTTGCTAATTGCATTATCATTTCCAGCCACTTGTGAAGACGGACTATTTGTTCCACTCTTTGGCAATTGTGTAGGTATACCCTTCTTAGAGTCCTCAAAGTTACTAGCATTGTTCAGAATAGGTGCCGAAATTGATTGATGATCCGCTAATAGTTCAGACGAAGTTACCTTGGAAGCCAAGACCTCTCCTTTATGTGCACAATTCTGCTCAAAATAAAGAATATATATATATATATTCAAGATTGAAACACCTATAAAGTATTTGAACATAATGAGTACTTCCTTACCAGCTTCTCTTTTTCTTTCAGCAAATTGGAGTTTGAAGATTTCTTCCAAAGAAGTAATGTCTTGATCCATTTTGCACGGGATTTTCCCATATCCGTTAAAACAAAAGATAATTAAAATTCCCAAGTGGCTAAACCTGGAAACCTGTGAAAATCATATCCAACCAAAACCTCAATATTATCCAGATTCCAGAACTGCATGCAAGCAGTAAATAAAATAAAAGTAAAAACATAGAATTTAACAGCAGTCAATGTTCTAAATTTCTCAGTACAGTTTGCAACTGATGACAGTAAAATTTTATTGCACTGCATAACCAATAGCTTGTTAGTTGCCAGGTACCATAAAAGATGAAACACTTAAAACCTTTCTTGAAAGAAAATACAAAACATGAACAAGACAGCAACTGAAAGTCTGAAGCCAAAAAAATCTACACCCAAAAAAAGAAGAAGAAGAAGCACTAAAAACATTAAGTTTAAAATTTTACAGTCCTTTTCAGATTCCTCCATGGTCTCAAAAGTAAAATAAAAAAGAATAAGCGAGCTTAATAACTAAATTCCACATCTAGTTAAGCTAAATAATATAACTAAAAACCAGTAAACCGACGCTGAAATGGAACAAGAAGCAGAGTTCTTGTCCGTAAAAAAAAAAAGAAACATGGCGTCAAAAACGAGTAAGGTAAAGAAGAAGATAAAAAGCTTTTACCAGAAAATGCATCAAAATTGAAGCACATATAAGGTAAAAAAGAAGTTAAAAAAGCCATTAAACAGGACAGGAAAAGAAAAGTGAACGTTTAGAGATCTGAAGAAGGAAATTTCATTTTAGTTTTCTTTTGTAGAGAACTTCAATTTTGAAGCTTATAAAGACGACAAGAAGAAAATGTTACTGTTAGGGATGAAGATCAATACGGAACGTAGGCTTCCTCAAACAAAAGATAAAGTGTTGTCAGTAAATAAGTTACATTAAAAACATGAGAGAAATGAAAATTGACCCTAAAAGGTGATCTATGGTCCTATGACTATGAGGTGACCTGTCTCCGGTTCATGTGTACTTTTTTACATCATCGCAAACTGAACATTAAATCAATTTATTTCGGGTAAATTGTACTTATCACCACTTCCTTATTATCTTTTAGTATTGTTAATTAGATTATTTAATTGTTATTAATTAAGTTATTTGTGGTTAACTTTTAAAGGAGTTGATATAGTTATTAACAAAATGTGTATAATCATACACTTTATCTTCATTGCTTACACATTTATTACTTTGATCTTAATTCAATAAATTTAATTTCTAATCATATGATTACATATATAAGACACTTTGCATGAAAGGTTTTCAAAATACTAACATGTCATTTAAATTATACATGAAGGATTTGAAGGCATAGGTTTGGTTTTCATTTTTTTTTCCAGTTTCCTTTAGTCTTGTTTAAACAAGCTCTATGCAACCTCTTCTCAGAGGTATGCTCACGTACGACAGCCTTAATATACGGCTAAAACAATGTGTCAAACAATAACAAAACAAAAAAAATGACCATAAACATTATTAGGCACTACCGATTTTATTATTATTGGGCGTTTTAACCGGATTTTTAAAAAAATAATCGGAAACATTATTAGGCGCTACCGATTTTATTATTCTTGGACACTTTTATCGGAAATGCTAAAAAATGATGTTTTAGGTAAAAATAATAATATTTTAGGTAATTTTTTACCGATTTTATTATTTAAACAATAATAAAATCGATAACACCTTATTTTAACTTTATAATAAGGTGTCACACTGTAAAACTTCCACTTCTCAGGACTAGTCCTTGCTATATTGCACATGGGAAAGACGATGATTATAAGGCAAAATTGCATAAAATTCTTTAAATTCACACTGATTTAGAATAATGCGATTGGTATAAATAAATAGCTAAGGGATTCTATTAAAAATAGAGATTTTTACATGTGAAAAAAGAGAGTAATACGAACGCACAAATTTTTAACCTTAACAATCCATTTACATTCATTAATAATCCTAAATTGTTAAATACTAAATCAATATAAAATTAAATAATAGTTTTATAAGTGAATATTATGCCTCTATATATATATATATAATTTTATCACAAATTTTTAACCTTAGCAATCCATTTACATTCATTAATAATCCTAAATTGTTAAATCCTAAATCAATATAAAATTAAAGAATAGTTTTATACAATATAAGTGAATATTATACCTATATATATATATAATTTTATCTATAGCATAAGTAAACTTGATAGTTCCATTTGCATTTACACAAGTCACCATCATCAAGAAGTTCCCAAATGTAAGTTTCAAGTTTGATTTACCAACTGTGAGCACCATATTTAATTAAAAAAACCATCCACTCACTCACACCCCACGTGAAGTTACCTCTCACATGCTGCCAAGCATCACCCATGAGAAGCCCATCCCCTGCAACATCATGTTGCTTCCAATGCCATGCTTGTCTGCCACTAACAGAAGACCCATGCCTTGCTCCACGCCCATACCTTAACTCATAATGAGAAGAACTTGTTCAACCTCAACTCAGCATTTCCAACGGAGAGTTCATAATGAGAAGAACTCGTCCAACGAGAGAGAAGAAGTTCATAATAAGAAGAACTTGTTCAACCTTGGTTCAAGATTTCCAGTGGAGAATTCATAATGAGAAGAACTCATCCAACGAGGAAGAAAAGTTCATAATGAGAAGAAATTGTTCAATCTTAGCTCAGCATTTCCAGTGGAGAGTTCATAATGAGAAGAACTCATCCAACGAGGGAGAAAAAATTCATAATGAGAAGAATTTGTTCAACCTTAGCTCAGCATTTCCAACGATGAGTTCATAATGAGAAGAACTCGTCCAACGAAGGAGAAAAAGTTAATAATGAGAAGAATTTGTTCCTTCTGGCTCATCCATCGCATACAGAGTTGGATCAACATCACAGTGTCATTCTTTCTCGATTCCATCACATACGGAGTTGGAACAGCACCAATGCTTCGCTCAAATCCATCACATACGGAGTTGGATCAACATCATCAACATTGTCATTCTTGCTCAATTCCATCACATACAGAGTTGGAACAACACCAATACATGGCTCATCCATCGCATACTGAGTTGGATCAACGTCATCAACATTGTCATTCTCGCTCGATTCATCGCTTATGGAGTTGAATTAGCAACACCTTGCTTGAGGGATAAACATTTTTTAAAGAAAGAACACGATGAGAAAAACCAACGACTTGAAGAGCAAAGATTGAGTTAAAGATGGCGCTCTTTTATCTTTGTTTCATTTCTGTTTCACAACAATGAGCAAAGAGGAGCAGCTGTGTGAGCACTATATTTAATTAAAAAAAACCATCCACTCACCCACACCCCATGTGAAGTTGCCTCTCACATGCTGCCAAGCATCACCCATGAGAAGCCCATCCCCTGCAGCACCATGTTACTTCCAATGCCATGCCTGCGACCACTAACAGAAGACCCATGCCTGGCTCCACGCCCATACCTCCACTATCAACTGCCACCAAACACATCACAGGAAATGAGGAGAAATGGTTTCGGTTTTTAATATTGTAAGGGTATATAACCTGAAGAAGATAACAATACCAGGGGGCCAACATTTTCTTTTCAAAAACATTGTAATATGGGGGTTCTGGATCCCCTTTCGATTAGCATTCAGAGCATTGTAAAGGGATTTCTCCCGTTGGTTATTCGAAACAAATAAAACGTTTTAATCACCAATAATTTTTTCTTATTTTTCGATACTACCAATATTCATTTTCCTATTTCCAGCAAACCCAAAAACAAGTTATTTCTGGTATTTTTTTATATCATTCGAAGAAAATCGAAAAGGAGGATGAGGGGTTTTACCTCTCGGTTAAAATGGAGACCGGCGTTGGGGACCTCATCACCCAATCCGACGACGAGAATGCTCAGAAGATCCTTGGGAGCGTCATACCGCGGAGCTAGCTTGATCCAACGGCTGACGGAGTAGATCGGGACACCGAAGAATCGAAAGGTCGCCGACCACTTTCACGATGATGGGTGTCGGATCTCACAAAACCATGGCCCGATTTGAGATCCGGATGACGAGGAGAGCATACCCGTGTTTTTTGGTGCTGAACAACCGTCGAAGGCGGTGAAGGTACGGCGGTCGACGGTGGTCGACACGGTACCCGGCGACGGCTTCCATAGCTGATTTCGGGGATGCTTTAGTGAGAGGGGAGCGATTTGAGATCGAGGAGAAAGAGAAGAAATGAAAAAATGAGGAAAAGATGTGTTTTCACTTATTTAAGGGCACACCGAAACGACGTCATTTTGGGGACCTGCCCGACACCTGAAACGGCGTCGTTTCACCTCGATGCTGCGTGTTTTGGACCATGGGAATAATCGCAGGCGCGGTCTATTATTTTTACCCCGTGTCTATTTTGGTCACAAATCCTTATATATTTCATTGGAATATTTTTAGTTTCGTCCTAATTTGGTTATTTTCCATTTTTATGTTTTAATACTAATGTTTTGGTTTATCTCTTTTCAGGTCCCTATAACTCTACGTGTATTCCATATTGGTCCCTAGCCTTAGTTAATTTAAATTTTTATTTATTTATACATTGACATGCCATCTTTGAAACTTAGTATTTTAACCTTGTGTATGCGAATGGGTTTATTTCTTGGATAATGACGCAAGTTTCCAGTTTAGTTCAATTTAATCCTAAAAAATCCACGTTTCTGCAATCTTTTAATTTTATCTTTATATTATACGCGTATTTTAATTTGGTCACTAAAATGAAATATTTCGAAGTTGTAATCCTGCCCTTATATTTCACGTGTTACCCATTTCAGTCTCGGGTTATTATTTTTATCTTTTTGTCTTATTTCATTATGTTTAATTTTTTGGGAATGTAATTTTGTTTAATTATTATTTTAGTCCATCATATATTGTGCTTATTTTTGTTTTAATCCTTTGTAATTTTTAGTGCTCGATATGGTAATATTCACATTTACGCTTTAATAATTATTTTGATTGCATTTTAGATGGTAAAATTTTGTTTAATATGACTAAAATATTTTAGGTTTAATAATTCAGATAATAATTATATATTTAGTTTAGAATTAATCCTTGACTTTAGAAATTATTAATTTAGAACCTTAAGCTTTTAAATCTTATAGAAATCCATATTTTTAGATCTTGACATTTTAGTCCTCGAACTTCAGTCATAATTTCATAATTAAATAGGATAAATAGAGCCTCCCTTTTAACATAGTTTTCAAATTAGTCTCTTAATTTAGGGGATAATTCAAAATGGCCCTCGCGTGAACGCTCGAGAGACCACTTCGATTATTCGATTCAATAATTAATTAAAATCAAATATGATTAATATTAGAGCCTACGATCTTAGGCTTGAGCCCCTAGGTTCTTTAATTTTCATAATTTGACATTGTAGATTAGAAAAAGCCTTTATTTATTTTTAGTATAATTAGGATTAAATAAAATTTTGCTTGATTGCATTGTTTCTAAAACTTAAGGCAATGTTCACTTATTAAGAAGTTAATAATATATCCTCCGCGATCACGCTCAGGGGGTGACTACTGGTAATTCCCTAAATAAGTCAACATCCTTTTCAAAACCACATCATGTTTTCTAAAAACAAGACAATGTTCAGTTATTAGACACAATAGTTGATCTCCCGCATTTACGTTATGGTGCGAATGCTATCGGTCTCAATAAACGAATATCATTTTCAAACTTTGCATCTTTAATGATATTTAAATTAAATAAAGATCGAAATTAAAATTTCCGACTTTAAATATAGAGTAATCAACTAGGTACCAATTTTTAAAAGCTTGTGGAATGTTAATCCTTTCCCACACGTAACTGACTCCCGAACCTGATTTTTAAATTTTCGCAAACCCTAAAACTCAAATTTTATTAAAATAAAATGTTTTATTAAAATCACCCGATTTTTACGGTGTTCCAATCTCACCTTAAATGATTGTAGACGACTCCTCACATTTCGAAACGATTTTCAAAGAGAAAACCCCGAGTCAGTATCAGTCTTTCGCTGCCCAGGCGAAAAACGGTGTCGACACCAACTTATGGCTTATTTATGCTTTTTGATTACTAGATGAAAGTGCTGCCCTAGAAGAATCGTTCATTTTCACGACACAAACAACTAATAGAGTCAAAATAGTACGCAACACATTTTCAGTTTTCAATGTTATTTAGACAGGCCATTGGACTATTTTTGCTGTTCCATAGAAACCAAACCTCGAGCTATCAATCGGCGGTCCGCACTCCGCTTGACATTCTCACATACTCTCCTATTATATTCACGCTTCGTTCTTACTACGGAGTCGAACATGAGATATCAATCGGCAGTCCAACTCTGCTCGACAATCTCACGTACTCTCCTATTGTATTCGCGCTTGTTTTCACTAAACATCCGAGCAGCTTCTGAATTTGCGGGGGAGTTTGGATTTGGATCACAGAGCAATGACTGCATACACAAAATATGAGAGGCTTTAAAACAAGTCTGGGAATGAGATCACCATAAGTGTCGTACAAGTTAAATGCATTAATATCACAGTTTTATAACAACCTATCTGGGATAGAACCAATGATTCTTAATTTAGAGGGACCAACATGTTCACAAGAAAAGTTACTTCCTTTGCCTCCGATTTCTATTATGTTCTCTGTGTGTATACATACAACAGGTCAATGCTAAGCAATATCATAAATGATGCATGCACAGGATTAAAGATCTGGATCCTTCACATGAATGAATGATATATGCCAATATCATCATTACAGTGATAGATCTTCCAACAAAATAATAGAAGCTGGTTGTCGGTTGAGCTTCGCAAAGGTAACCAATATTTTCGCTTCAAACATCTTCCATAAGGAAGTTTACAATATTAGGCGGGTGGTTTCAAAGCATATACCATGACAGGTGGAATTGGAATTAATAATATTTTATTTCATGGTCCTTAGATAGCCGCAAATGAAAGCCTGAAGAAGTTATATCGTACCTGAATAGATGTCAGTATTGCAGCTACATCATAAATTGGACTCCATTGATTTTGTAAAATGTCCAAACAGATGCTTCCATCAGCATATACTGAGAAATTTGCAGGATAAAATAGGGATCAGATCAAGAATGGCTAAAATTATAGATTACAAAAATATATAAAAGCACAAAGATAAAACTTAATATCACGATAACAAAATAAAATATAATATAGTATCGAAAGATGGGAACCAGAAACTAAAGCAGAACATGTACATTTGCCAAGTCAAAATCAACTTCAAAACTTCAGTTGTACGGATGCCTATGACACAACCAGCTAGCAAATGATGGCACTGTGTTTACTAAACATTTGCACATGTTTGCAGATTCATAAACAAATGCTATATGTACTCCTTAAAAACCAACTTAGGGGACTCATTCAGAAAGCACAACTATCAATCACTTTCTCAGTATTAGGTCTACTTATTCACAGGTATAGTTAATAAAAAAATAACAGCATGGTAAGTGAGATAAGCACAAATGCTATACTTGCACCCAATGTATTACACCTACAAATGAAAAAGCAAGCTAAAAACGTGGATCCAGCAAAAAAGAATAGGATTTGTCTAGAGGCTTACTATTTGGATGGAACATTCGAGATACAAAACGAACCGTGGGTGGCTTGTTTGGATAATCCTCCGTGAACTGAAGTGTCAGCTTAAACGTACCTAAAAGACTCAAAAATGTCAAAACAGATATTAATTTATAGTTGTTGGCAGTTTACCCACATTATGTGATAAAAATATCCAGTCATAATTCTCCAAAGCTATAGCTTATATGATACATAGATTCTACTATTCAAATTATAATTTACAAAAGAAATATGCATGACGAATTTCCGTCCCCGCTTTAAGGTTAACGCAGAGATCTTATGGCCTTCCTCTCAAGAACATCCTTAACAATAATAATCTCGACTCCTGAGGCCATTGAATTAAAAATATCCTAAGGTTCAAGTCCATGAAAAAGATTGTTCCACTTCTACTTCAACTATTCACATTAAAAATTGTCTATGAGGCCATTAAAAATGTCACTCCCCATCGAACAAATCCAACCTTCAGCCTTTGAAACATTTAACCGATTACTATATGGGAAATTGATAACATCATTACGGGAGTATAGAATTACTGACGAATTGTCTCAAATTAGATGGATTATATCAACATATAGTGTGCATAGCAATCTTTTAAAGAATAGACGAAACAGATCAACCAAAGATCCAAGATATGCAACACAATTTACTTTACCTCCATCCCATGGGGTGTCATCAGGCCTACAAATCCATCAAGTAAAGACATTAGCTCACTACATTGAATCTTAATTTAAAAAGGAAAATTATGGTCCATTCTTATTTTATCATATACCCAAATATAACAGCATTCCAGAGCATAATGTTGTTATCTTGAGGGGCACCACTAATTCCAGCAGGAGGATCTTGCTGCAACCTCTTAAAATCCCTCATCAGTCTCTTCCTCGCAGGAGTCGACATCCTCACCTCCTCCTGTAGATTTAAAGGAAGCCAATCCAGAATCAATACAAAAATGGAAAAAAAAATGAATTATAAAAATCAAATTTAACATTTACAGAAACCAAACCAGACTAAAATCAGACTTCAACAAGTAAACCGAGTTTCGAACATGAGTTCTATAACTTTATACGCAGACCAACATTCAAACCTCAATATTTACTTTGAGGTGCATGCAGAGGATGAAAGGACCACTAAGTCGAGGGCTACACAACAAGAAGCAACTCATTCCAATCCCATAAAATCTAGTTAAACATCCCACGGTTCTAACTAAACATTCACAACTTGGAATCTCAAGCACTAATTGCTTGGAAACATCAATTTAAATGCTAATCATACAGAAAAAGGTAGGAAATCGCTTACAGACAAAGTAATTGAGAGAAAAACACCAAAGATGACATAAAGCACATTTTTGCTTTTATATTCTGTTCAAAACACTGATTCAGCAAATCACAACCATTAAAAATGAAACTAAGACTGTAAATTGTAATCCAATCATTTCTAGAATTATTATAACAAATTAACACCTAGCATAAAAATCTCGGACAATCTACGCGTAGAAAGTTAAAATCGCCATGAAAATAAGCCAAAAACACAAATCTAATTAACACCTAAGATCCATAACTATAACAACAACGATAATAGAAGCTTCAACATATCTTAGCGATCAAACCTAGAATTTTCCTTATATATGAAATTATCATACACAAATCTAAGCAAAACTGAAGAAAAACAAGCCAAAAAGAACCAAATATAATTCTAGAAATGGAAATCAAAGAACAAGACAAAGGGAACAAAAAGACTTTCATACAGAGTAAACGCGGCGAGTTAACCAGGTTTCTCCAAAAGAAAGCTTAACAATCACAGACGAGTTAACCACAGGAAAAAGCAACAAATAAGTAACGGAAATCTTTATCAGAGAATCATTTTCTCAAAATAAAAAAAAAGGTCTTTTCTTGGCAATAATATAAACCAATTGATTCCAAAACTGAAGATTTCAGTCTTTTATAATTATAACATTAAAAAATAAAATGCATACATGTATTTGATAATAAATGAGTTATAATTTTAAAATAATTATATACAGATTATTTAATTAAAAAATAAAGACATAATAAAGTGCATACATGTATTTGATAATAAATGAGTTATAAATTTAAAATAATTATATAAAGGTTATTTAATTAAAAAAATTATTATAAGTTATAGTTTCTTTCTTTTCTTTAAATTAATTTTTTCTCTCAATATTATTGTACCGTCTTCTTTTCTTTCTTTGTTTTTTGTTTAGCCGATAGCAACATCAATTTTAATATTGGTTGTCAATCACCGGTGATCATTATTTTTTTTTCATATTATGTCTTTATTTTTTTCTTGAGGTTTTTCACTTTTAATAAGCTTTGTCCTTGTGATAAGCTTTTCTCTGCTCTTGTGGCACACTTTTTCTCTACTCTTGTGACACGTTTCTTATGGCTTTCGGTAAGTTTTTCACATATTTTTGTGGTCGTGTTTGTGCTTCCACAAAGATCCTCACGTCATTTGTTTTCTGATTGGCTTCTCGATGGGCTAGTATTGTTAGATCCCCTCTTTTGTAAATGGTTGTTTGCCGATATACTCCAAATTGTGTAGCGAAGCAGTTTGCTAGATCGTTTGGTTCGTTCCACACTCCTTTATCACATTGTAAAGCGTCTCGTTCGAAAAATACATGAAATTTTATGAAGGTTATTGAATTGTATTAATGTTTGGAAGGTTTCATTCTCTTTGTATCTTTGGGTGGGTTTAATATTTTTATTTTATGTATGAGTTTTTAGTGATTGTCTCCAATTTTCTCTTTAGATATGTTGTAATTTTAATTCCTCCAATTTTATTAATGAAATTCGGTTGCTATTTGTAACACCCTAGACCAGAATGATACACAGTCGACCGACCAAAATGCCACACGAAACCACCTGAGTGGCTAACCAATTTTTTTCTTAATTTATCCATAAAAAATGGCCATTTGTAAACTATCACGCTAAAATGAATCAACTACAATTTAAATAAAATGATTTACATCTCTTAAATACTATTTCAAATCATACAAACCATCGCATAAAAACAACCCTTACAAAAATATACAAAGGGTTCACATGTATACAAACCCTCTATAAAGATGACCTGAGACGTACTCTGCACTAATTGGGTTTGTATCACTGTTGACCCAAAAAGTACTTAGATTGTTCCTCATTTAAACTGTGTAAGGAAACAAATTCTAAATGCTGAGCTCACTAGCCCAGTGATACACTGATAACTAAGTCATACTAAAAGTGTTCATGACATGCTCAAGCTAACTGATAAACTGAAATAGTGAGTATACTCGTATATTGCACTCTATACTTTATGGTAGACATCATGGTGTGGATGAGGGTTTTACATCTCAGAGCTCACACACCCCTTTAATTTACCGAGGCTAGCTGCGTAAAATCTCTGCATTGGTTTACCTCATCGACTAGCCCACTCTTTGAGTGTCAGACATTGCGTCCAAGCTAGTTAGCTTTAAGTGCCTCACGCACTACCTAAGGATATATCCAAACTGAATCTTTACTTTTGATAATGCTAGCATTTTCTAAAGTAACTCGGGTGTCCTGATCATTTTCCAAGCATTATCTAAGGTTATTTTTATGTCATCCTAATTGATCTTGTTTCTAAGTATAATATTAATATCATTAATATTCTCACTTGTAGTCTTATTTGATGATAAAATGGAGTGTTGGGGTTCCTCGAGTCTAATTCCCTTAAAACTGACATTTTTACCCAAAATAGATTGAAAGTATCGATAATATCCCAAGAATATCGATACTCCAGCAAAAGTTTTGATACTTTATATAAGTATTGATACTTTTAAACATTTTGTTCTGCCCAAATTTGAAACATCATGGAAGTTTCGAAACTATGACCCAAAGTTTCGAAACTATGACCCAAAGTTTCGATACTCTTGCCCAGAAACTCATGAATTTGCCCAAAACGAAAAACAAGTATCGATATTATCCTAATAATATCGATACTCTATATGCAGAAGTCATAAAACACATACTAAAATGTTATATTTTAATCCCAAAGACCTTAGTGAGGTCCCCAAACATGCTTAAAGTTTTATTTGATCAACAAGGAACATAATAGAGGCTTTAAACACATTTGCAACTCTAAAACAAGAATTTCACCATGAAAATGCTTATCATGCTCAACTCAAACATTTAAACTATTTTGAACTTCTAATGACTCACTAAGAGTATATACGAGTTTTAAAGATATTACCTTGCTCCTTTGGTGGCTAGAACTCTCCTCAACTCAACCAATGCTCAACTTTTCTTTGTCTTTTGATTTAGAACTCTCTCACACTTTCTTTATTAAACAAGGTAAGAAAATGGATTACAAATCCATTTAGAGGTTGGATACATTCTAAATAACTCCTTATAACCCAAAACATAGCTAGAATCCATAGATTTCCACAAACCTCTCAAAACCTATTTTTCCTATGGATAAAAACTAGTAAAATGGAGCTTAAAATGAAGCATGAAGGATGAGGGTTAAAAATCTTACCTTTTCTTTACCCAAACAAAACTTGAACTCATAAATCCTTCAACTTGAAGATGGGAGAAGAAAGAGAAAAGATGAAAGAAGAATATGAGTGTTTTGTGGGAAATGGGGAGTTGTCCACATAGACCTCATAAAATAAGGGACTTTTTAGGTTTTGAAATAAGAATTGGGTAAATTACACTTTTAGTCCCTTTATTTTCTATTTCATAAGACATTAATATCTTACCATCCAACTCTTAGGTCCATACTCAAGCCCAAAAACACTAAATTGGGTCCAATTATCTTATAAGGTCCAATTGGGCTCAACTTTAGGCTTCGATTTTACCCGAACTACTAAACCAAATTCGAAACGTTACAACTCTCCCCTTCTAAAAGGAAATTCCATCTTCGAAATTTATCTAGATAGAAAAGATGCATATACTGGAACTTTATATCTTCATTTGTTTCTCAAGTAGCTTCCTCGACCCTGTGATTCTTAAAAGTAATTTTATTAAATGGATCTTTTTGTTTCTCAACTCTTTCACTTATTTGGCTAGAACTCTGATAGGCTCATCCTCATAAGACATGTTAGGGCTCAACTCGACTTGTTCTAAAGATAGGACATGCGATGGGTCGAAATGATATCTTTATAGTATTGATAAATGCAACACATTATGAATGTGCTCCAACTTTGGTGACAAGGCTAAACGATAAGCTATCAGTCATATTCTCTCGAGCACCTCGTAGGGACCGATGAAACACATATTCAACTTTTTTTGCATCCAAACCAGAGCACCTTTTTCCTTGAAGAAACCTTAAGGAACACATTGTCTCCCACTTCGAACTCAATATCCTTGCATTTCAAATTTGCATACGAAATTTGTCTATCTGAAGCCTCCTTAAGTCTGTTTTGAATCATCTTGACCTTTTCTTCAGTTTCTTAGATTAGGTCTGAATCTATTATCTTCCCTTTGCTAAGCTCAGTCTAACAAAGAGTAGTTCTACACTTGCACCCATACAGGGCTTTGAATGGAGCCATCTGGATGCTCGATTAGTAATTGTTATTATACACGAACTCCACCAATGGTAGGTGATCTTGCCAACTACCTTCAAGATCCATAATAACGCACCCAAGCATGTCCTCAAGAATCTGGATTACACGCTCTGACTAACTATTTGTCTGAGGGTGAAATGTGGTGCTAAAATGAAGCTTGGTACCTAAGAAAATGTGAGGAGCTTCCTAAAACTAAAAAGTTAATCGAGGGTCTCTATATGAGATGATCGAAGTTGGGATTCCATCTAACCTCACTATCTCACAAATATAGAGTTGTGTTAGCCTCTCTAAGGTGAAGTTTATTATAACCGTTAAAAAAGTGAGCAAACAAGGTCAACTGATCTACTATCACCCACATAGCATTACGCTTGTTTCTCGTCATCGGTAATCTCGTCACGAAATACATAGTTACTCAGTCCCATTTTCACTACGATATCTGAATGGACTGGAGTAACCCTGAGGGAACCTGATGTTCTGCCTTAACCTATTGGCGTACCAAATACTTTGCTACAAACTCAGAAACCTCTCTTTTCATGCTCGGCCAGAAATACAAAGGTCGAAGCTCTTGATACATTTTCTTACTACTAGGATGGACAGAAAATGGATTACAATAAGCTTCATGAAGGATCTTGCTATGAACCGCTCAACATTAGGCGATTGTCTTGACATCACCATCTTGCATTTTGAACCATGGGGCCTCGCCTATTATATTCGAGCTCTTGGGCGATTGTCTGAAC